AAGTCAGAAGTCAACTGCCTGTTAATAGACCTTTTGCCGTATGAGTGTACGTTGCCCAGAGTACACCATGTGGAGGTAGGTCTATCGCACACCCCACTTTGTTAATATTAGAACTTGAAAAAAATTGTAAAGACTTTCACTATTTTTTATGTGAAACAACAAAAAAATTTAAGAGAAGTTGAAGTGAAGGTTGTATAGACTAAAGTAATGTATCGAGAATACCAAAAGTTGAAACTTAATTGAGGTCTTGAAGGATGGAACTCTAAAAAATAAGTTATAAGCAAATACTACTTAAATACCCAACATAATTAGCATCTTGATCTTTGAACTTGTTTTATTAATCTGAAGTTATTTTCGTTTGGTTTCGCTAATGACTCCGTCGAATATAAATTCCGCACTTATTTATGAACCTGCCTAAAGCTCATTTTCTCACAGATAACACCCAATCAGTTTCCGTTTAATTATTTTCCCCAATTGAGCTATTAACTAGCTACGCTTATTGCATTTTTTTGAATTTTGTGACAAATAAAATAGTCATAAATCGATTGTACCACATCTCTCGTAATATGCGATAACATACTTCAATAAAATATTGATTACGAGATGTCAATTCAATTTCAATAATGTTTTAATTTCGTTCAATTCTAACTACGATCCTCCTTCCGTCTTCAATCTACTCCAATTGAGGAATTTATTTTCTCTATGTCATATCAATTGTGGGAGGACGATGGGTTGGAGAATTTATAGGTGCAATGAAATTTGATATTTTTTAATTTAATCTATTTCCATCCATAGCATATTCTTTTTGCACTCCGATTTGGTCTTTCGCACCTTGTCCCACCGATTCCACTTGCTCTGGAACGTTCCATCGCAATTCTGGAGCACAAGCGTCGAGAAGCCCTTCGGGTAAGAGAATTAATCCCGAATGCTTGAAATCTTGAGGTTTCGTGACATCTGAATTTAAATATACACCGTTCACTTGAATTATACTATTTTGACACTCGAATGTGCACACTATACTTCCAATTTATGCTATGAGATGTAGTGCAACTTTTTCCTGGTTTAAATTTCTTAATCACCCCGCATCTCTTCCTCTCTTTAACATAGTTATTAAGTTCAGCTGTCTGTAACCTTCAAGGGGCGTTAAGTAATTGAATTTTAAACTTTCCGTACTCTACAATGCCGTATTTAAAGACATGTAATACGTATTTATTATTTTCTTACAAACCACTCTTTATCTACCTAATTAATGTGCTATGTCTTCCTAGTTCCACTCCTGCTAATTGAATGGCACTTAAATGGCAAAAGGACTTTGCAAGTATCGCATTAAATATCAAATTCTAGAGTTTGAATAAACTTATCTGCAACACACTTGAATATGAATTCACAATTTTTCATTTTAGTATATTAATCGAAAATTTAACCTTTTTTTATTTTAATAAGTTAGTCATCAGACCAGATCATTTACGGTATTTTTTATTTTTCAAGGCTATTTTCAAATCGTCTTGGGATAATCAATTAACAACACTGGATTTAATTCTGATGCAACTCTCTGGTTTTTTTCATTCAGAGTGATTGAAACGCTTCTTGATTCAACCCCAAAGGCCATTGTTAAACAAAATTATTAGTTCGATTCAAAGTTGTATTCACGGTTAGAACTTGATATTTAGCCAACCTGTTAAGTGGATCGATTATTTTTGCCCTTGAAACGCGTTTCTATTCAAAGTAGAATGGTACATATGGATAGGTATCTATTTTACAGGCAATGAGGCATTTTCAATTGAGATAGTTGAATTAGTCAGTTTAACTAAACTCATCTTGTTCTCAACGGTTACTGTTGACCCACTTATGTTAAGTAATGGAAATGACTATTCGGACTATTCTTATTCTCCTGATTGGTAGTTGCTTGGAGTGCCCACCTGGCCATTAACTGGAATTTCGTTCCTATACAGTTATTCCTCTACATCGATTAGTCTTTCAATCCTAAACCCCGAATGTCTGATTAATTGAAATATAAATTAATCTGATACAGGTGTATATTAAGCATGGCCATGTGCTATATTTTCCATTATAGACCCTTCAACGAGAGGAGCGTAAGGAAGCACGACGGATAAGTGATGAATACGAAGAACCTGCTTGTCCATGTGACATGAACTCAGATATCGACAGTAATTGAAAGCAGCAAATCGAACTGCCATTTTGCCGACTTGTGATCCGCAAAACCCATCCCTTATTCCTTTGCCTTTCTTATTTCTTCTTCCATTTTGTTTGGTATGAAAATAATTTTCTTGCTTGAATAATCTTTTTTATTCCTAATATATTGAAAAATTACCATTATTTAACGCACATTGTTCGAACTTATTTTTTAATATATTATCTTATCGCTGTTGGAATGTATACGTTTAATTTTATGTAAGTTATTAAGTTCCGCGCAATGCTTGAACATGAAATTTTTTAACTTTCGACTTAAATACATTTTTGTCACTATGGAGATCGATCTTCTAAGGATCTGTCGAGTCGAAACGAAATTCAGTTGGAAGATAAGTAAAAATAGAAGAGTTGACTTTTGTTGAAAATTCCGATTGAAAGCACTACAACCTGTTCGGTAGTTTGAGTAAATGAAGACATCTCACACTGTACTTTGTAATGTTGCATTCAATTTAATATTTAATACCAGTCATTCGGTAATTCATGGAGTTTTCAATAGGATGCAGAATTTCTCAACAAATTGGATTTTTGAAAATTTAAAATTTATCTGAAATTTGCTGGTTATGTTGGCTGGAGCACTTACTGAAAGCGGTGTCTAAAAAGGTGTGCATCTTTTGAACAAAGTTGTGCAAAATTTATACTTTCTTATTTTTTTACTCTCTTCAAGCATTTTCTTTATTTTTTTCAACTCTGAGATTGATAGGTAGCCTCAAATTGCCCCTATTGGGCGTTTTAGAGGCCATTCGACTTCTTATAGGACTTGTTTATCTAAATAAATCTTTTGTTTCCAGGCCAAAGGAGAAGGTTTGTCTACCATTTTAAATATAGTTGCAATTTTTTTAAATTTAATTCTGAGTACATGAAGAATCTTGAAATAGGCTTGCCTCCTAATCTTCTATTGCTTGCAATTAAAAATACTTAATTTATTATTAAAGATAGCTGCACTTCCAGCTATGTTTTTCCAAAAAAATATTTAAAATAACTCCACCATTGGATCAACTTAGAGATTAAATTACGTCTTTATTTGTTTAGCACACTATTTGAACCGATTTCATCCAATTATATATCTAAAAATTGAATATGATAAACGATTCCAATCGATCAATATCTAGTTCAGCAAAAGAGGTCTTAACGAACCTTGGGGAATGTTATTTCTTATCAGTTGCTAGACTCCGCAAAATCGCCTACTGTGCAAATGGAAAAGATTGAGACTTATTAGGCTGATGAGAAAATTCGCAATTGGCGTGATTTCTATTCTGATATTTGTGAGCTGAATCTTGATCTAAGAAAATGATGACGAACTTGCAGTTATCTACCACCTTAGCAAACAATTTGACTTCACATAATTCTGTCATGCATTATTTCTGTAAATTTCGTCTATTTACAATGCTTTTCCATCCATCTGAATTAGCTCTTTTGTTTACACAAAACTGTTAAATAGCCTGTTTACACATAAACATATCAAAGCATTAAAGTACAAACAGGTCGAGATAGGCACTTGTTTTTTTTCAATTTTTACATAAAAATGATTTTTTTAATCTTGCTTTTGCCTCTTTTAGTTCCACTTCTGACGTAAGAAAAATTTTATTACATTTAGTATTATTATTATTATATCAAATGGCAGGCGTTTTGATTGTAATTATTATTATATCAAATGGCAGGCGTTTTGATTGTTATCCTAACCCTTTAGTTGACTTCAGGCTTCACAGAGGGTAAGAAACATCAAATTGAAAAAATTCGAGAGGGGGGGGGACAGAAGAGTGTATCAAAGACGAAGGTAGATAAGGTGGGAAAAAGGTGAAAGGGGTCGAATATGAAATACAGTGGGGTCATGGTAGTTTGAAGTCAACTGCCAGGTAATAGACGTTTTTTGCCGTATGAGTACACGTTGCCCAGGGTGCACCATGTGGAGGTAAGTCTATCACATACCCCTTACCTTTTAGTATAGAAAATAACTCAACCGACTTCATTTCATAATTGCGCTGTTAGGGATTAATGAGGCAATTTCTGCAATTTACATAAAACCATTTTTTTGTAATTTCAATTTC